GTATCACGATTCTGAAATATAACAACGATAATTATCATCATTCTTATAACAGTTTCAAATATTCAAAAGACAACATAGTATACCATTAAGTGTTCTATTGTAGCATTTTTTTCCTCGATACCAAGAGACATAGCAATATTAAGCAATCTTTTCAACGTAGACACACGGATTTGCACAAGATTCTCATCTAAAGAACCCCAATCACAAACCTATAAAGTTTATAAATTTTGAATTTGTAACCTAAAATATTACCGAATTATAATTGCATGCATATCTACTTACTTTCAGTTTAGCCATAAATACTTTCGTGTTTTGCAAAAATGTTCGAGCATTTTCATACTTTGCATCTTGTTTATCTAACATCTTTTTGATGTCTCTTAAACTCTTAAACCATTCAGGATTATTAAACATTGGCCAAGGATTTATATTCAAACCGCCCGGATACATTTTGGTTATAAAGTTATTTTCGCCTTCCTGTGAAAGATTTAATATAAATGGCCAATATATTCGTGATGTTCGTTATTTTGAAATTATACAGTACATGATCTGAGGTAAAGTGCTGACCTGCATGACCATTGTCCTGAACCTCAAAGAAAATTCAGATACAATCCCATCACGATCTTGTTTAGGTACATCTTTAATTATGATACACAGTTTCGCCTAAAAAATTAAGATCAAGTGAGCAGATTGAATTATCCGATAAAACACTTATTTATTATCATTATTACTTGAAATATTTTTTCATCATTTAGTAATGTAGCACCATCTTGGAATCTTTGGAACATTGTTGACATATCTCTATTGACAGCGAATTGATTCTATAACAATTATAAGAAAAAATTTGTTTAATAAAATATTGTTAATACAAATTAGTAATTAAGCCTTTTTACCTTAAAAAGAATAAGATTTGATATCACTGTATTGAATAGTGTCAAAAACGTATCTAAAATCATTGTGAGATTGTTAAAACATTATTCTCGCTTTAAATTCCTTATACGTAATACAGTAATAATTATTGAAGAAATATCGATATAGTCATTCATTCCCGATCTGAAAACTGTGTAAAGATTACCTTCTTGTGGTGATCGTTCAAGGGATTTGAGCCCCTCGAAATCCAATGCAACATAGATACATTTTTTTGCAATCGCTGTATTGGAAACAAAATCAGATTATGTCATATTAATAACTCTTGAAATATTAAATTAAAATATACCTAAGGACATCCATACTCCTTCGGTACAGCGCTAAAATAATGAAACAATATTTTCTTTTAGGATTTTCTTTGGCGATATTAGATTTACTAAAAAAAGCATACCATTGCGGAGCCATCAAATGTTGTTCCAATTAAATGATTTAGCATATATCTAAAAAATCAAATCATTTGTTATTTGGCTTTTTTATTGCTTAAAAAACAAATATATACTTACGATTTCCCACAAGACCTTTTTGATTATAAAATAATTTTTTGATAAATATATGACCCGTAAGTGCATAATAAAATTAATAGTGAATATGCTTACTGTTCACCCATACTCGAAACAACTTTTACTGGCCTATCACCAAAGTATTTGAATATCCCCTCATACCATCCAAAACTAAAAAAAATAATAATTTCAGAAATTTCTGTGTAATCGCTACAAAATATTATTAATAATGAAAAATAACCTTATGCTTTGTGCAATTCCATCAACGCTTAATGCACCCGAATCAGCAATTTCTGCATCAAACGATGATAAACCATCGGAAACTGGCTGAAATATATTGTTTCGTGCAACAGCAATTTGAATCGGGATCAAAATACAAAGTTGGATTATCCATTCACCAAGTTGATTTTTTTTAAGATCATTTAATTCATCAATCAAGTCCTCTAGATCAAAATCTGAAAAGGATAAACACGATAATCCAAATCTACAGAATAATGAAGTTATTTGAAGTAAAACAAAAGAAAAAAAAAAACTGCTAAAATATAATTACCGCTTTATAGAAGTTGCAGGTTTATTCGTTGATCTTTTTAAATCATCGAACATATCTGTTACATATTCTTGGAATTTATTTTCATAATTTGAAATCTTTTCAACATCTCTTAAGTCTAATGCTATTCGTAAATTTAATGTGTGATTTTGATCTGAATCAATAATGTTATCAATAGGATATTTTTCAAACATTAATTTATATGCATCTACGAATCCGTTAAGCTTGGTCTTAGGTTCAATGCGAAATTCCATCCAAGAATCAATACCAATCATACACTGAAAAGATCCGGAGACTTTTAATTTCGTATCTGAATATATTTTTAAAACAACTCGTTTTTCACCCATAATAACTAGATTTTCTCCTTTTTTGATATCACGTATAAATGAAGTATCTTTGCCTTCCAGTTCCATATTTTGGGACGAATTCTTTACTGCTCTAACCTTTCCAAGCGATCGCTTATTAAATTTTTGTTGGAAACTGTATTGGGTTTTCTCATGAGTAATCCTAATAATAAGTGAATGAAATATTCCTGCATTTATATCAAACGTCGTAAGATGAACTTGATTTTCCATACATGAAAATTGAATAAATTCCAAGGTTGATATAATTGAAGGCAACTGAATTACTATGTGAAGGAAAAGTTTATAATAAGTTACAATTTAAATTTTGGAAATGGTTAATAATTGTATATCATGCAAACCTTTACTAGCTGGTCTTCCAAAACCTGAGCAAAAATAAATATATGCACGTTTTACTACCGATTCATGTGTACCAGTAGACTCATCAGTAGAATTTTCTGTATCACTGTTTGAAGCTGTATCGCTAGTGGATATTTCAGATTCATTATCCTGTTCATTAGGCTCGTGCGACATATCTTCACCTAATACATTTTCGTCTGATGTATTTGATATATTTTCTTCAACTAATGCTACAATACAAGAGCCATCTGGAGTACAAACAATATCTCTGGCATTTATCGGAAAATGAGCAGTTCCCGGCAAAAACTGGTTTGTGACCAAGTTAAATATTCTTGCCTGGCCATTTGTTTGTACAAAACAAATTTCTTCTTTGTCTTTTATAAAAAATAAAAATTTGATATCAGGTATGTTATTACCATACCATGCACAAATTTGAACACCTCCCGCCCGTATATAAAATGTTTGACTTTCATCAATGACGTAAACGTCTAACTATTAAAATATAAAGATCTTAAAAACTTTATAGTTGATAAACATGTTATAATATAATAAGAACTTACCACTCCCCTTTTAGTTTGATATATGCCAAACATCCCTTTTGGCTCGTTTACAGCAATAAGACATTGCTCTTCTGGATGCAAAGTCTTAGGTTTTCGATAATTTCCTTCCAATTGCACTGACGTTCTTCTCAATGTTTCATAATAAATTTCAAGCCGATTTTGATTAATATTCCATAGAGCAATAAAGCATTTATTGTTTTCAAATAATGCCACTTTTCTTTTTTTTTAAAAAAAATAAAAAATTGCGTCAGTTATTATAAATTTAAATTTATATTCAATAATTATCCAATATATTTATCACCTTAGTTCATAGGTTTGCGGATCGATTAAAAAGGAAAAACAGTTATTTTGATGGTACAACTCGATTGTTGGATTAGGGACATGTAATTCATCTTGTCTCAAACTCAAAATATCATTCTGATCGAGGCTTGTATTATAGATTGTGTATTGTAGTTGCTCGGGCTGAATTTCTTCTAAATGATAAATAATGAAGTAACCTCGATGATTACTACTATTTTGAACTTTTTCGATTTTAAGTATAGGCCTTTAAAATATAAATTTTTTAAATTTATTAAGTAAATTCATAAGTTGAGAAATTATTTAATTAAATATTACCCTTCAGAATGTTTTTTTTCAATTTCTTCACAAATCCTGAGAAATTCACTATCAGTAATTTGTTCTTGAGTTTTTTTGCTTTCATCTTCAAGCCTTGAATTAATTTCTTTTGAACGATCCGAATATTTTGGTATGCTTTTTTTTATTTGTGAATGGAATACATTGTTTCTCCATTCTTGATATTCGTTTAAAAAACGAGATGTAATACGATTTTCCGTGATCTCATCAGTATTCACAAATTTATAACTATGGAGATCCTGAATAAATTGACTGTCAGTTTTCATTTTAATTTTTTGTTTAATTTCAGCATCTACATTTGAAACTATGTCTTTAATATCGGAGTCAATGTCAAAAAATTGTTTGAATATTGAAAATATGCTATTATTATCTTGATTTTTTCTTTTCTGTTCTTGGAAATATTTCTTTA